GGAGCAGTGATCATGCTAGAACACAAGTTGCACAGTTCTCTGTGCCAACCGGAAATGGAAACCGCAAAGACAGCATCTCATCTCCATTCCTTCTCCTAGATGAGTTTTCCCCACTGGAAAAATAGGGCAAGGCTTTATTTCCTCTTCTGGTAGTCTGCCTGCTAGGGCCAGGGGCTGACTTCACACAGACCTGGCTAGACAGGGGCCAGGTAGGTTTTGACCCAAGAAATTCCCTTGACAGAATGAACGGCTAACCAACACATTCATTCCTTTGGACTGAGGTTTCTTTTCTTTTCTTTCTTTTTTTTTTCAAAACCAAGAATTGAACTCAGGCCCTTGTGCTTGCCAGGCAAGCACTTATTCTACTGAGCTAACTCCATGGCCCCCCAGACTAAGATTTCATGTATTGAATCATCTCAAGTTATCCTCCATGAAACTTGTTCTGCCACCCTGAACATATGCACATATTATCAATATGAATTCACTGTATTCCTTCCAGAGACCCCAAGTTGAAAACAATAAGTGTAATGAATTTAGTAAGAGTAATAGCTAGAAAAAAGACAGAAGTTCTTGGTCAGTTTCCCTTTGCCAGGTAATAATAATGATAACGACAAAAGAGACATGTATTGACTGTGATCTCCTCACATCCTCTCAAGAATACTGTTTATTAACTCCATCTAACAAGAAAAGGAAACTGAGCTGGAGGGAATTATGCAATTTGCCCAAGATTGCTCAGCTAATGAGTGAATAACCGGTTTGTGAGCTTAATCTCTGTGCTATAGTGCTTCTTTGGAGAAAGGATCAGCTGTGAAACAAGACTGCTTAGGGTGGACTTGGCAGAATATTGCCACTGAAATTCCATATGGCTTTTGTTTCCAAAACAAAAATGATGGCTTCCAAAAGTACAGTGAGATTAGCAAAACTGTTTTCTGTTCTTGTTATCTGAAACCTGGGTTTTATGTTGGGAGAACTACATTCTCTGATCTATCTGCAAATGGGCAAAACAGTTGGAATTCACAGTAGTTTTCAGAATAGAACCTCAAATAAAACTTTAAAAATCAGCAGCATATAACATCCCAGTACTCTAATCCATTGCTGTTAAGAGTCCACTTTGAAGTCCACATTCACATTTCAGAATGTGCCTGCCCCTTAACCCCATGCTTTGCCTGAAAAACTCCTCCTCCTCCTCCTCCTCCTCTTCCTCTTCTCCTCCTTTTCTCCTTCTCCTCCTTCTTCTTTTCTCCTCCTCCTCCTCCTCCTCCCCCTCCCCT